AGCCTGAGTGTTTACATTGCCTTGTTTCACCTTCGACGTCGGAATGTAGGCGAAGATAAACCAGTGTCTGTCAGAGACGACGAGATTGGACTTTTTGGGGTGGATGTCTCAATATTGTTAGTCAACTGTAACCGGAGAGTTGCTACAACAAAGTTCTCAACGCACTCGACAGATAGCAAGTTAGTAGTTCCAACATCTCCGCTGGTGTTTCTGTATCTTTCCCACAGACTACAAACTGGCGATATTATATAAGATGAGAATTGTGTTTTAGTTTTCTTTTACGTTTCCACCAAGCGAATTTCTACAATATATTTGTAGTTTTGAGCAAAGGAATATGTAAAAGTATCTTTTCGAAATGCGTCACCATGAATGGATCTTGCATTTGTTACCCGTGAATATAGGCAGAACTACATGTCTTTTTCTTTAGGTACGGTAGTTACATATCTGTGCAATACATTGGCAGAAGATAGTGTATCAGCTCTTGCCACACTTTCAACCAAGGGTGAACTCCTTATCCAAATGGCAGACTTTAAAGAAAGAGTGACCACAAAATTTACTACGAGCATGAAAAGGTGTCTCGAATTCTTTTACAAATAGGTAATTACACATGTTCTTTATTTATAAGTTTAAATAATGTAAACTAATACTGGAAAAGGGAATGTCTTAAAAAATGACATTAGAAGTACAGTGTATTTCTGAAATGTACACATTAATTCTTTATACACTAGTCTCAGCATCAGTCTCCCCCCTCCAATGCCATTATTCTGTAAACCACCAACTTTTGAGATCACTGGTTTCAAAGATGTGGACTGGATCAAATGGATCAAAGACTGGATCAAAGAAACTTATAAATTATTCACAAGCTAGAAACAACATATTCATGATTCTTTAGTAATTCTTTCATTATCGCTTTTTATATTTCAGTTGAAAATAGAAATCATATATGAGTCTTCAATCAAGAATTACAGCAATGTAATATAATTAATTTTTAGGTCATGATAGCCTACGACATCAAATTTTAGGTCATACATATTGAA